ATTAGTAGGACATCTAAGTCAAACATTATTTCTTATTGATTACTTTGAAAAACTAATGAACAGTCAAGATCAGCTCAAAACAAAGATTTCATCAGAAAACAGAATATATACATGATTGACAAGTAAATTTTATAATAATATAATGGTTACGGATGATCGATCTAATTAGTAGAAGTACTAATGTGTGTCTATATTTTAACTGACTGATAAAATGTAACTAAAATAGATGAAAATTATCATGTGCTCACAGGCGACTGGCTTAGAGGGGGAATGCTCGAAGATTTAGTCAGAAGCTGTGACCAGTAGAGTTCCACTATGTCAAATGTGAGACAGTTACCTACCAAAGACAATGGAGGATGGTCGTGAAACATTGTGGATTGAAATACATGTGTTTATTTACGTAGATTTCAGGGATTAACTTTCATATGAGAAGTAGTGATAGCAAATATAATAGTCGTTCAGTCGTAAACAATGTAGAACCTGTCACATATTTGCATCAGTCCAAGTTCCTATTGTTAGGTCCTTTTGCAAGTGAGTTATGTGGATCTAACGTCCCCAACAAACCTCTCCTTTCTAATAGCGTACTTTCCTGGGATCGACTTGCATCTTGACTGTTGTCCGCCGCTGTCGGAGAAGCCACCTTCTGGAACGGAGATCAGCTTGTTGTTGAGCTTCTTCTCATGGTGGGGCTCCTGGTAAGTTGAAAGTATCAAGCAGGATGTCAAGAGGAATATTTACTCCTGTTGATGGGCGGCCTAGGGCTATCTGCTTCCGTAGTTGGTTTCTGTGTCTAGTCCACGTGTCTCTTCCCACCGTTACCTCGTACATAACTTGGCCTAGTCTTCCAACCACACATGCCTCGGTCCAAGGACCATGATTTGCTCTGTAGTATCGAGCAAATATCGGGCACCCAACCTTGTACGTTGGCAGTTTCTGAGATCTGATCTGAGATGGTGGTGGTGTGGTTCTTGGGCACATCAGACTGTGGATCATCCTCAATTTCCTTCCCATTAGGATCACTGCCGGGGACTTCTGCTGTGGTAGCATATCACTAGGTGTTGTTCGGTAAACAATCAAGAAATTCTGCAATGTTTCTACTGGCTTCCCCTCCCCTTTCGACTTCATTAAAGCTCTCTTGAATGTATCCACAAATCTTTCTGCTTGGCCATTTGACTGTGGGTGGTAAGGTGAAGAGCGGAAATGTTTGATTAATAGTCGTTTGTAAAATTCTTGAAATTGACTTGAGGTGAACTGCAAACCGTTGTCGGATACCATGACATCCGGTAATCCGTTACGGGAGAACATCTCCGTCAAAAGTTTCATCATTTGGGTAGTCGTTGGTGGCATGACAGGAACAATTTCTGATCATTTCGAAAAGGTGTCAACAACGAGACTAGATAGATGATTCCATTAACAAGGCACACAATTCCACAATTTATAACAGTTATACAATTTCAGAAGAACAAAATAAAATTATCAAGTTGAATACCAAAGAAAAAAAAATGGTAAATAGAATTTCAATGACAGTAAAAAAAACAAAAAAACAAATAAGACCTTGAATATATAGAATATAGTTTCGAAACTCTAGAACTCCTTATCATTATAATCAATTTTTAGACTTATCATACATTGTTTACAAAAACATTAATCACCATAACTACGCAAATTTTAATCAGTTAGTTTACACTTAACAACATGATTTAGATAAAAAGTCAATTAACTTGATAGGATGACAACATTGTATCTTGATTTCATCAATCATACCTATCTTCAAACATACTTCAATACTAATCAACAATAATGATAGTTGATCAAACATAGATGACAATAAATGAAATAAAATTTTAAAAAAAAGAGAAAAAAAGAGAAAAAAAAGAGAAAAGAAAAAGAAAAGAAAACCCAAATTACAAATAATAAATGGAACCATTCTAAATTACTATTTGTATAATCATTCAAGATCAGGAAACAAGTAATTAATTACTAGATTGTGTTGATTAAGTCATTCAAACGATTCAAGTATTTAATTGTACTTCAGTGAATACTTTATTTTATCCAATCCACTTTATCATTATTATTATTATTATTATTATTATTATTACTAATACTAATACTACTATTATCATTACTATTATTACTATTGTTATTACTACTAATACTAATACTACCATTATCATTACTATTATTACTATTGTTATTACTACTAATACTAATACTACTATTATCATTACTATTATTATTATTACTACTAATACTATTATTATTATTATTATTATTATTATTATTATTATTATTATTATTATTAATACAACGACAATTAAGCGAGCTACAATTTTTTTTCAATTTTTTAATCTAAATGCTAATTAAAACAAGAATTAACTTAATGCTTATTGTTTATTTCTCATTAAGAAAACACTCACACACACACACACAGCAACAGAACATTAACCACTATTGATTAATATTACTGTTACCAATTTTTATAAACCTTCTTTCCCTTATTAGTGAATGATAATATAGTTGTCATATCATTGATTATCTTGTCGTCGAGGGAAAAAAACGATGGGAAAAAACAACAACAACAACGACAAAAAAATTTTTTTCATATCTTTTTTTTCTCTTCTCACACTTTTATCTTCTAATATTAAAATGGATTAAATGAAATGAGAGTGTAATATTAATATGATAATGAGAAATTATAATGATGAGGATGATGATGATGATGATGATGATCATCATCATCATCATCATCACTCAATACTACTAATTCTACTGAAAACAACTTGTTAATAAATGAAGAATTGGTCAAATATAGTAGTCTATCTAAGTGTATATGCTCATAACAGTTTCTTGTCATATACACATACACACACATGTGTGTGTGTGTGCGTATGCATGCAGTTTTCTGAAATATTCATCAACCAAACAAGAAATGATAATCTTATAGTACCTTACAATAAGATCAATGATATCAATGTAAAGAGTTGTGTAACTGTACAATAACATTCCCAAAATAAAATATTAATAATGACCACTAGTCATAAACAATAATACTATTACAATTCATAATATTTGAGAAGATTAGCAATAGTGTTAATGTTCAAGTCAGAGTATAACAAACAAACAAACACACACACACACACTCACACACATACAAACACAAACACATAAGTAAGTAGCAATACATTCCATGAATGAATGAACAGCACAACTATTACAACACTGTGAGGCTGTTTCAATGAGAGAGAGGCAGAGAGAGAGAGAGAGAAAGGATACTGGTCTGCTCCATTCATGATAATTATATGTATTATTTAATAATAATAATAATCGTTGTTACCATTACTATTATTATTATTATTATTATTATCATTAGAAAAGAATGACAGATGATTAACAAAAACAAAGAAAATACTATAGAGAAAGAAGGAAAGAAAGAAAGAAAGAAACAGAGTTGTACAAACAAATATCTTGATCTGTTTACTAGACAAAGATCTAAACACATTGGTAAGAAAATTTTTATTATCATCGTTTAAATGGAATAATGGCTAGTAATGAAAACCAAGATATGTGTATCGTTCTTGGATTTGAGTTCAGAAGGGAATAGTAACAGTGAAATGTTGTAAATATACAAATGAGTTGATCAGTTCAAAATAGGATGAAATGTATATATTAGATTATAATAATAGATAATATATAATCTTAAGAAACATTTGTAACTAAGGTGCAATATCGATTAGAATCTATTCAATACTGATATATGATCATAGTGATGGACTAATTTCAATTCACAATAACAACATAGTGATGTGAGATTGTAAAGCCTTACTAACAATATTTTTTTTATGGTGATGGATATAAATATTTCTATCTTAAAGATAATTATACGCTGAAAATTCTACTGGGAAACGATAGTCAATCACATGAACTATGAGATAAATATTACTGTGATGTTATGAAAAGATGGTGGCAACTTGACTGAATTCGATGATTAATGAAATTATATATGTGTAAACACTAGTGAATAGTAAAAACAAAACAGACATGAAACGTTGGTTAATTTCCAGTGATTCCCATCCAATTGACTTCAGTTTATAGTGTATATACACTACACAGTTTATAGTGTGTCCCCAAATGCCCTGGTACGGCCGAGAGAGGGGTGGGCCCACCCTCCCTCTCGAAATGCTCTCACATGGACATGAGTATATAGCCTCTGCCAGGGAAATCCTACTCACTGCCTTCTCGCATCACGGGTGTTGTTTACGAAAATGAGAGGACAAAATACGAATGTCCGGTGCTTTAACTGAATCCCAAACCAATGGTGCACATGGGCTCCAGTATCCTGATGGAACAAATGGCATATGAACCAGTCGTTGGTCACCGGCTACCATGGGACTGCATCTCCATACGATGCTCCACTGTCTTGTGGATCAGGCCTTTAGGTCAAAGGCTTGGGATTAGGCTCCCTGAGAAAACAACCTGATTCGGTTTGGGCATCCGGGCAGTATCACAGCCCTCACACATATCGAATGAAATTTGTGTGGCGCATATATATTTGGTGCCCTCTTGTGCCAATATTTATGTGTTTAAATAAATAAATAAAATAAACAAGTTTATAGTGTTAAATATGAATATCAACATAAGTCCTAAAATGGGACTCACGATTCCCCACGGGGTCCCACCCTAGGCCTTTAGGACATACATATCATTCTGATATGTATTTATAATTAAGTTGAGAAATGGAGAGGTTGTAGAGACTCACTATTGAGCTGTTTCAAACTAGAACATCAACTGATCTTAATTTATCACAAAAAACGATTGAAAAGTAGGTTGTCATCTGGTAAAATTCACTTTACATATAATTAACATGTATTGTATGAATCACTTACAACTATTTACAACCAAACAACAAAGCAAGCATGTTAACCTAATCATGACAACTACAAAATAAACGTAGGTAATCCGATAAACATGCTATTTCATACATTTAATGGTTATCATAGATGTAATAATAATAATAATAATAATACCCACTTATTACAAGGAGAACCCTTTACCACCTGTTACACCATAACAGAATAAATATGCAAAGTCTACATGTGAACAAACGAGGATAAACTCAAGTAATACAAAAAAACGATGATCAGGTAAATAGTCATGTCAACAGCTCTCGGATTTCATTGTACAATACATTGAGATCATTATGAAAGCGTCAGTAACCCAGTTTTTTTGTATGTGGACAATTGTTTTTTTTTTTTAAAAAAAAAAGCCAAGCCTACGTGTATGATCGATTTTCACTTGTCTATTTATCAATATTCATTAAATGTACACGTTATTTTCGATTGATTATCCATTTTGCTGACCATTTACATTATGGTTATTGAGGTTAAAGAGTGTGTACACCAACACCAACACCAACACACACACACATATACACACTTTGTTTCGTTATTATTATCATTACAATTGTGTATTGAATCACACAACTAACAAATTGTAGTAATTCACTTGGATTAAACTAACTTAGACACATACCCTTTTGACATTAAATGGTTGAATATAAATCAATAGGAAAATCTGAATTTTTCTTTTTTTTTTTGGTTTTAGTTGACATTCAAGGGCAAATCTCTGTAATATTGATGGAAGTATTAATTAATAAGAGATTGGAATGACGGTATCACAGATAGTATACAAACCTATAATTGATTGTAACATTATTGATAAATCGATTCCGAATCCTACACAGAGAATGTCACAATATGTAGTGAACAGAACACCGATGGGCGGGGGGGGACAATCGACAGGATCTGACAACAGATTACAGAATTTCTTAATAAAATCTAACAACCATATAGTAAATGCTCAATTTGCAAAATGACCATCAATTGTCTTAAAATGGCTCAGACTTCATTGTTCTTGTATTTTCATACAAATTGTAATCTGTTTCGATTGTTTACTGTTCGATCTTCTTGTTTCTCTGCTGCCAAACATTGTATTCACAACTAACATCACACACTACTTATGTCTATATTAAGTAGCACACACCAAAAATACATCTAAAAATGGCACAAATGCTAATTAACATGAAATTTGCATCAAATAAGGATTCCTAATGAAGATTTCGTATTGTAATATTACCGAATGATAGAATTCCCAAAGATTTCACTGAAACACTGAGTTTAACCGAGGAGACTTATTTTCTTCAATGTATAATATTGCTATGAAAAACCTACAATCTTTAAATAGTTTCTGTGTTTAGCGAAAGCTTATATTATTCAGTGTCCATATGAATAATATTACTTTTGAAATTATCCGGTTACCAGTATAGGGTTGTGGTGATGGTTGAGTTTCACTGAAATCATGAAACAATCAATCATTGAAAACCTAGGAGCACTGAACAACCGTTCAGTCTTAGTATGGGACTCCTCAACAACGCCCATCGGTTCATCATTTCACTGAAACTCAAGAATATCCACAATCCTATACTGATAATTATCATTTATTCACTACTGACTAGCTTAGAGATGGAATGCTCGAAGTTCTGGTGAGAAACTGTGACCAGTAAGGTTCAACCATGTTAGGTATGAGACAGTTATTCATCGGGGACAATAGAAGATCGTCATGCAATATTGTAGATTGGTTAAAGTTAAACATCAACACCGTTCGGTGCCAGCCCAGGAGTCTAAAGATTAGGCATTCACGCGCGAGACCGAAAGTGATCGGAGTTGTAAATATTCCATTGAAATTGGATTTGTATTTATCCTCTTGTTGTCAATCTGTCCCTGTTGACAAACGAGTACTTCAACATATTCGAATTGTTTACAATAATAAGTTTTTACTTTAAATAATATGAAATTCAAAACATGAGTTTCATCCAATTTCCTATTCATCATAGTTGAATACACTTATACCTCAATGTTGACAGGTATTAAAATTCAAATCTCAATGAGCCTATCCAAATCGGAATGTATATGTAAATGGATTGAATCCAGAACTCCGCCTGGAGTCCCTTCCCGGGGGCTACTGCCGGTCCAAAGCCCGGATAAAGGAGGAGGGTTGGGCATGGGGTTAGCGACCCCATCCCGTAGAAAACTAACTCGCTAAAAAAACGCTAACCAGAAAAAATTATTCAAACCATTTAAACTCTGCCCTGGGAGTCAGGAGGTCTTCGTTTAGAAGAATTATGACGCCTCATGATAAAAGCCGAGTTTCTTCGGAAGTCACGAGGCCGATGCCCCTTCTGACAACCAGAGCAACCATTTACTTAGGTACATGGAATGCTCGCACAATGTGGGAGACTGGGAGAGTTTTCCAAATTGCTGCAGAAATGAGGAGATACAATTTAGAGGTGCTTGGGATCAGTGAAACACATTGGACGCAAGTTGGACAACAACGACTAGCTTCAGGGGAGCTGCTGATATACTCCGGACATGAACAAGAAAATGCTCCACATACACAAGGAGTTGCATTGATCGTGTCCAAACAAGCACAAAATGCACTTATAGGATGGGAATCTCATGGACCAAGGATCATCAAAGCCTCCTTCAAAACAAAGAAAACGGGCATTACAATGAACGTCATCCAATGCTATGCGCCTACCGACGAATACAATGAAGATGCTAAAGATCAATTCTACGATAGGCTGCAGTCAATCGTCGAGAAGTGCCCAACAAAAGACCTGACTATTCTGATGGGAGACCTAAATGCCAAGGTTGGAATTGACAACACCGGATATGAAGAGATCATGGGACGACACGGACTGGGAGAAAGGAACGAAAATGGTGAGAGATTTGCAAATCTATGTGCCTTCAATAAACTGGTCATAGGCGGGACTATATTCCCACATAAACGCATACACAAAACCACATGGACTTCACCGGATCACAGCACACAGAACCAAATCGACCATATCTGCATCAACAAAAAGTTCAGGAGGACGATGAAGGACGTGAGAACAAATAGAGGAGCTGATATAGCATCAGATCATCACTTGCTGGTCGCCAAGATGAAATTGAAACTCAAGAGGCACTGGACAACGGGGCGGACAATATCACAAAAATTTAATACGGCTCTTCTTCGGGATAATGACAAACTCAATAAATTCAAGATAACCCTCAGCAATAAGTTCCAAGCCTTTCATGATCTACTCAATGGAGAAGGAACTACTATGGAGAGCAACTGGAAAGAGATAAAAGAAGCAACCACTTCAACATGTCATGAGGTTCTGGGCCAAAAGAAGCACCATCACAAGGAATGGATCACGATCGATACACTGGATATGATTCAAGAAAGGAGGAACAAGAAGGCTGCAATCAATACCAGCCTAACAAGAGCAGGAAAAGCCAAGGCACGGGCTGAATACACAGAAGTAAACAAGCAAGTGAAGAGGAGCATCAGAACCGACAAACGTAAATATGTGGAAGATTTAGCAATGACGGCGGAAAAGGCTGCCAGAGAAGGAAACATGAGACAACTGTATGACACAACAAAGAAACTCGCTGGAAATCACCGTAAACCAGAACGACTAGTGAAAACCAACATTGAAGAACAACGAAACAAGTGGGTAGAACACTTCAAAGAACTCTTGAATCGACCAGCCCCACTAAACCCACTCAAGATCGAAGCAGCACTCACGGACCTCCCAATCGATGTTGGCCCACCAACAACTGAAGAAATCAGTATGGCTATCAGACAAATTAAGAGTGGCAAAGCAGTAGGACCAGACGAAATTCAAGCAGAGGCACTGAAAGCAGACGTAGTGGTAACTGCAAGGATACTCCACATTCTCTTCAGCAAGATTTTGGGTGAGGAACAGGTACCAACAGACTGGAAAGAAGGACTTCTGGTCAAAATATCAGAGAAATGCGATCTCAGCAACTGTGACAACTACAGGAGAATCACTCTTCTCTCAATACCAGGAAACGTCTTCAACAGGGTATTGTCAAACAGGATGAAGGACTCCATAGACGCACAACTTCGTGACCAACAGGCAGGATTCCGTAAGGATAGATCGTGTACAGATCAAATCGCAACTCTACGGATCACTGTAGAACAATCAATTGAATGGAATTCATCACTCTACATCAACTTCATTAACTATGAAAAAGCATTCGACAGCGTGGACAGAACAACCCTATGGAAGCTTCTTCGACACTACGGCGTGCCTGAGAAGATAGTCAATATCATACAGAATTCCTATGATGGATTAAACTGCAAAATCGTTCATGGAGGACAGTTGACAAAGTCGTTCGAAGTAAAGACTGGTGTTAGGTAAGGTTGCTTAGTCTCACCCTTTCTCTTTCTCCTGGTGATCGACTGGATCATGAAGACATCAACATCTGAAGGGAAGCACGGGATACAGTGGATAGCTAGGATGCAATTGGATGATCTAGACTTTGCAGATGATCTGGCTCTTCTATCGCAAATGCAACAACAAATGCAGGAGAAGACGACCAGTGTAGCTGCAGCCTCAGCAGCAATAGGTCTCAATATACACAAAGGGAAAAGCAAGATTCTCCAATACAACACAGCATGCACCAATCCAATCACAATTGACGGAGAAGCTTTGGAAGATGTACAAACATTTACATATTTGGGCAGTATCATCGATGAACACGGTGGATCTGATGCAGATGTGAAGGCACGGATCAACAAAGCAAGAGCAGCATATTTACAACTGAAGAATATCTGGAACTCAAAACAATTAGCAACCAACACCAAAGTCAGAATTTTCAATACAAATGTCAAAACAGCTCTACTGTATGGGGCGGAAACCTGGAAAACTACGAAATCCATCGTCCAAAAGATACAGGTGTTTATTAACAGTTGTCTACGCAAAATACTTCAGATCCGCTGGCCGGACACTATAAGCAACAACCTACTGTGGGAGAGAACAGATCAGATCCCAGTGGAGGAAGAAATCAGGAAGAAGCGCTGGAAGTGGATAGGGCACACATTGAGGAAAGCACCGAACTGCGTCACAAGACAAGCCCTCATATGGAATCCTCAAGGCCGAAGGAGGAGAGGAAGACCAAAGAATACATTACGCCGAGAAATGGAGATAGATATGAGAAAAATGAACAAGAATTGGATGGAACTAGAAAAGAAGGCCCAGGACAGAGTGGGTTGGAGAATGCTGGTCGGCGGCCTATGCTCCATTGGGAGTAACAGGCGTAAGTAAGTAAGTAATTGAATCCAGGACATTCAAATCACTGAATTGGGCCAAGCGGTTTGTGAACCAATTATAAATAGTAACAAAGTATTATAAGGCCAACTCCATAGATTATTTAGAAAGATTTATCCATGATACAGTTTTCATCATGGATCGATATTAGCTTGAGAGAAGGAATACTGTAAATCGTGAAAGTGACCTCATCAGAAACTGATTTATTTGAACACATACTTATTGGTACAAAAGGGAACCGAATATATATATATATATATATATATATATATATATATATATATATATATATACGCCACACAAGTCACTTGATTTGTGTGTAGGCTGTGATACTGCCCGAGTGCCCAGACCAAACCAGGTGATTTTCTTAGGGGGTCACAACCGGAGCCTTTGACCTAAAAGTCTGATCCACAAGGCAGTGAAGCAACGTCAGAAGATGCAGTTCTATCGTAGCCGGTGATCAACAATTAGTTCATACGCCATTTGTCCCTTCAAAATCTTGGATCCCATGTGAACCACTGGTTTGGAATCAGGGTTTTCCAACTCCCCTAGATAGATCCTCTATTACCCACCAACCCGGTTAAAGCATCGGACATTCGCTTTTTGTCTTCTCAATTTCGTAAACAACACACCCACTGCGAGAAGGCAGTGAGTAGGACTTTTCTGACAATGGTTATATACGCGTGGCCATATGAGAGAATTTGAAGAGGGAGAGCTGACTCTCTCTACTCTCAACTATACCAAAGCATTTTTAAGGGTTTTTTATAATTATAATTGAATATTTATTATGATTTATTGAAATGAAACATTTATATGTTTAAAGATGATTAAAACAACCACCACCACCAACAACAACAACAACAAGAAAAACAAGCATCATGATAGAAACAATGAAGGTGTATCAGAACAGAAAGAAACAAAGAAAGAAAGAAAGAAAAGAAGAAGAAGAAGAGACAAGTTCTTGATTCATAAAATATCATCATACACTTATATCCATTTAAATAAGATGATCATATTTCTCTATTTATTTTATTTATTGTTTATTTACTTGTTTATTCAAATGTAGTCACGTTAAAACAGGAAAATGATTTTAAGACAATAGTGTTTTTTTTTTTAAAAAATAAAAAACAAGATTTTTGTCGGTTTTGTTTTTGTTTTTGTTATTGTTGTCGTTTAATTATCTCGCTTTATTTTAAATCCATAAATAAGAAAACAAAAAAAAAAAGAAATAAAGAAAACAAAGAAGACAATGATGATTGTGTTTGTTTGTTTTTGTTGTTGTCGTTGTTGTTGTTCGTGGGATAAAATAAGTATCCATGAATTTGTAATGAATCTACCAATCAATGTTTAATATTTATGGAATTACTAATGTAGTGAATAAGAACACCAATGAAGAACAATCAAATGTCTTCTATAAACAAATTACAGAACTAGTTAGTAAGATCTAACAATTATATAGTAAATGTTCAATTTGCAAACTGTCCATCAATTGTATCAAAATGGTTAAGGCTTCATTGTTCTTGCATTTTCATACAAATTACATTCTGTTGCCATTCTTTACTGTTCGATATTCTTGTCTCTCAGCTGCCAGACATTCTGTTCCTGACTAACGTCATATACTACTTATGTCAATATGAGTAGCACATACCACAATAGTATACTTTTATTTTATCAATTAAATGATTGATGTATCTAAGAGAAATATTTTCATTAGGAGATTTCATTTTAAACTTTAACTTTTACTTAATTTGGTTTTTGTTTTTTAGTCATTAAGTTGAATGTACTACAGAAATGTCCTGATAGGAGATTACTTCTTTATTTATTTTAACACATAGATATTGGTACAAGGAGGTACCAAATACATATGCACTACACACATCTCATTTGATATGTGTGAGGGTTGTGATACTGCCCCTGGGTGCCTAAACTGAAACAGGTGGTTTTCTTAGGGGGCCATACTCGGAGCCTTCGAACTGAACGTCTAATCCACAAGGCAGTGGAGCATCGTAAGGAGATGCAGTACCATGGTAGCCGGTGACCAACGATTGGCTCGAACACCATTTGTTCCTTCAGGGTACTGGAGCCAGCCCATGTGCACGATTGGTTAGGGATCCGTTTAAAGCGTCGGACATTCACTTTTTGCCCTCTCATTTTCGTAAAAAAACACCACTGCCACGAGAAGACAGTGAGTAGAATTTCCCTGGCAATGGCTAGATATGCGTGGCCATGTGAGAGCATTTGGAGAGGGAGAGCGAACCCTTCCTACTCTCGGCCGTACCAGGGCATTTGGGGGCCCTGATAGGATATATATATATATATATATATATATATATATATATATACTATTCACGAAAGAAGAAAGAAATCCTAGATATTACACGTCATTGAAAATTGAAAAAAGGATGATTATCTTCATCATTATCTTTGTCTAGTTGTTAAGATGTAATGTGTTTCTTTAAGATTTCAAAACATTGTTGACATAGAATATAGATTTAGAGATTTTCGCTAATTTCTTCCAACTAACCAACATTTAAGTATATGATAGACAAGATATAAACTCATGTAGACAAGTTAATCATATATTTCCACTTATTCAATTGAATATGATCAGATGGATTGAATTGAATTACAACGAATAGATGAGAAAATTAATAAGAACATCTTGTCTTGGAAATTCTCTCTCTCACTCTCTCCGGCATACTTTCTATATGGTAATAACATATTGATTAATACAAGAACAATGAACATGGATTTTTAACAGTTGTTTACAACTAAAAAACAATAATAATCATTTCTAATCGATGTATATGTATTTTATATCATATTGATGAAGGTCATAGTAGAGTGATGACAATCAATCCATCAATGTTAGAACACCATTGAAAACCTGGAAGCACTGAGCGGTCATTTCGTCCTAATATGAGACTTCTCAATAGTGCTTATCCACGATCCCGAATGCATGGATTGGTTAAAGTTAGATATTAACACCGTTGGATACCGGTTCAACGGTCTATAGGTTAAGTATTGTTGTATGAGATCGAAGATCCTGGGTTTGAGTCCTGTGTAAGCGATCATCGATGTGCACTGCTCAACAGTCTCATACTTGGATGAAACAACCATCCAATGCTTCCCATGTTTCCAATAGTGTTTCAAAATTGATCCATACATAATATCAATCAAAACTCAACAATCTTCACAACCCTATCCTGATAAAGTAGATGAATAATTGATATGTTACTAACCAAGAAAATTCTAAAAAAAAAAAATACATGGAGACATGTTCATAAAAGATATTAAGGATATTAATGACAAACTTGTTTAATGACCATAAAATTTTTGATAGAATAATAAAGTAAAATGAATGAAACGTAAGCTGGGTCATCTCCCACTTATGATTATAATAATAATAATAATAGTTAGTTATATAATATACTCTTGTGGGACAGGATAATTTTACATTGGTTTTCACGAGAACCAGACACCATCCAGACTTTCACGTGACAACTCGGACAATACAGCTCAATTCCGTTTAACAAAAGAACCAGACACCATATCAGCTATTAACACTACAATCTGAATAGTACAGCTCAATTCTGTGGCGCAACCCCACACAGGTACCAAGTACCGTGGTGGACCATTCACACCATTCATATACACATTCACGTCATATGTATCAAAATTATTCTGATCAATGATCGCGTGAATCAATTATGCACAGCACAAACAGGCCAATGTTGATCTATTCTGTTTACACGATAGTCAAATTCATTCATGTTAGCAATGGCGACATGCCTTATAATCTTCCAATGACAATGTCCCTTGAGAACACTGGCAAGCAACCGCCAGTATGAATGAAATCAGTTAACCAGCAAACCAATTTTCAGCATAAACAGTCAGTAAAACTTGTCAAAGTAATACCGAACCATCCACAATATCAATGACGAACCTCCAGTCTCATATGAGACCTTCATCTCTACATAGCCATATAGCTTATAATAATAACAATAATAATGAAATTCATTAAAATCTCATTAATGTCATTATTAATGAAATGAAAGTAAAGAAATATGGGTCACGGAAACCATTAGCTTATTCTTCTTCTTCATATATTTGTATAATTAGGATAGAAAATATCAACTTTTTTCTTAAATGGCTTATCTTGATCCAGAGTTGATTTCGAGAGAGAGAGAGAGAGAGGGAGGGAGAGAGAGAGAAATCACGATAATTTTATTGACAAATAATAGGCTATTAGAAAAGGGGGAAAACAAACTTAACTTCATCAAATTTGAATGACAACATAAGTTGGATCAAAAATAATAGTAATAATAATAATAAACAACTAAAAAACTAGAAAGGATTTGTTTCATCCTAATACAAGATTCTTCAGTATTATACAGATGTGATTCAACTATGAATGGAACCAAGAATTCAAAGATCTCTTGATAACAGTTTAATCTTTAGACTATTGAATAAGTATTTAGTGATTTATATTTTTGAATTCAATTATAATTTTGGATATTATGAAGCAATCATCTTTTATTAATGATGATATTTCTCTTATTCTCAAAGTAGTTGGGTTTGTGTGGAGACAAAGAGAGAGAGAGAGAGAGAGAGAGAGAGAGAGAGAGTGTTATTCACTTCTCTAATTACTTTTATTTTTATGGATTGATTTCACTTGGAGAACTGAAAGTCAAATAGCTACTAGACATGTATCTCACTCTTAGATTACTGTATCTAACATCTTAAGGTCATCAATTTATGATGAAGACAATTTCAAAAGAAGTTCATTTCAAAAATCAATATTTACTAACAATTTTTAATTATTGTTATAAGGATCAGAAAGATTCAAGAGATAAAATATAATGAAATTATAAACTATCAGTATTATTCATTTTTAACTCCGCAT